GTGGGGGCAGGGCAGCCAGAGGAGGGAGGTCCCACCAGGACTTCTGATCTAGCTGCTGGGAGGAAGCTTAAGTGCTCTGAGTGGGCCACAACAAGAGGCAGCAACAGGTGCAGACCCCCCACAAGCTCAGAACAGGGGCTTCAAAATAGTTGGGGGGCACAATGCCCAAAGGATCCTCACCCCTCTGGGTGTGGGCTGAAGAGAGCAGTCTGCAGCTCATTTAGCATCTTCCGTTCAGCCTTCACCTCATCGCCCCTCCCTCGCCCCACAGATGGGTACTCCACCATTGACCGGCCGGGTCGAAGGGCCCGGGGCAACGAGCCTGCAGGAGAGGTCTTCCAGGAGCCTTTGAAAGTAAGCCGCTGTGGGCTGGTACTTTGCTGAGGCAGCACATCCGGGCATGTATGTGGAGGGGCCCAGGTGGGAGGGAAGGGCTGTCCAGGACGAGTAGTCTGCAGGCCTGTGGATTGTTGGGTCAAGCCCAAGCAGGTACCTGGAACACTCAGGTCCTGACCCACTTAGGGTGGTTCTTGGTGGAGTTCAGACTTTGGGTACAGACACTTGCCAGAAGGGAGTGGGTGAGGGTCAGGGAGGGCCACCTGGTAGACCTTATAGAAAGGGAGGCCATCAGCAAGCGTGTTTTTGCCTTTTCTGCATGCATGTGCGTGGACAAGGGCCTCTGAGGCCCCCCACCTGTCCCTGCTCTGTGCCAATCCCCTGGCTTCATACAGGGCTCCATATATGCCCATGCATCACGCTATGTCTGTGTGAGCCTCCTTCGCCATTTCTCCTAACCCTCCAGCATCACCCTTCCTGCCAAGATAGTCCCTTCCTCATCCTCACCCTTGTCCCACCCTTGCTTCCAAAGACCCACCCAGTGCCCTCCCCTCAGCTCCCCTAATCTGCTGTGTTCTGCCTCTAACCTCCTCCTGCCCCGCCTCATGCGCTGCAGCCCGACCCTGGCAGGAAGGCCCCTCCTCCTGGGCCCAGCAGGGCCACGGTCAGGCTGGTGGACGCCGTGGGGGACGCTAAACCTCAGCCCGTTGATTCCTGGGTCTAGCTTGCATGCCTGGTACGTTCTTGTTCGATGGTTTGTCCAACTGTCTATCCCCTGGGCCAGCGGCTTCTTGTGATTATCTGCTGGCTGCATGCTCTGCTCTCGTGTGTGCAGCAGGTCCCCCCCACACCTCCCAACTCAGTGGACAGACTGAGAAGGAATGAGAGGGAAGTCCCCAGTCCTGTCCCAGCTATGCGGGGCTCACTGTCCGAGAGATGAGGCCAGATCTGGGATGGACTCCACAATCATAACGTCCCCAGAACTAGCAAGTTGGAACTGACCTTTAGGTCATCTCATGGCAGCTGTGAGAAGGGAATGTGGGCTCCCCAAAGAGCACTGCCCACAGTAGTAACCTGGGCTACCTAGTAGGCCATCCTGCCACCCTGCCCGCCGGTCACACAGGGATCAGGGCCCGTCCTGTTCAGCTGCTGCCAGGGCCCTGCACGCAGCCCATCTCACAGCTGCAGCGCCCGTCTTCCCCTCTCTTCCCTCCTCAGGGTCGGGGTCCAGCTGTTTGGTCTTAGGAATTTTTATCATGGGAAGAAGGACATCTCCAGCGCTGCGCTGAGAAGACACTGCTGTGGAGTCTGGAGCCCCCTGGCGGCAGGGGTGGGCAGTGCCCCTTCTGGCTCTCTCTTCTGCCTGGGGGCCAGGACTGACTGGACCTTTGGGACACCCAGCTGTCTCCTAGAGCTCCTCCCTCCCTCCACTCTGACTCCTCTAGCCCTTCTGAGCTGACCTGGTGCTGTGTGAGGGGTCAGGCTGCTGGAGAAAGAGCTGGGCGGCCGGCAGGCAGGCAGGTGGCCCAGCTCAGGAGTTGGCAGAGAGACCAGGAGAGGGTGCCTGGTGTAGGATTAGGAGTGTGGACCTGTGCACGGTGGCTGTGACACCTGTCCTAGGCAGCAGAGACCGGAGACAGGTGGCCTTGCCAGGTTTACCCTCCATGATCTAGAGGGTGAGAAGCAGGACGTGGAGGGAGGGCGGAGGGGCTCTCCAGACCCTCAAGTACCGCCCTGCATGGCAGGCAGCCCCACGCAGCTGCTGTAAGGGTCCTGGCCTGGAGACACCAGTGGAGCTGAGCACAGCCCTCCCTGTGCTGGGAGCCCTGCAGACGGACACACGGAGCCTGGGCCGCAGAGATCTCTCTTGAACTGACTCTGGCCACTGGCCCTAGTTGCTGAGCTGCCCAGGCCCACGGCGCCTCGGGGACTGACCACCGGCAGCCGCGGGGAGGGGTCGCTGTTCAGTGCCTGCTGTTTGTAACTTAAAACCAGAAGAAAAACACTGACAAAAACCATTAAAATCAAAACCAAAATACGATTGTATTGGTTAAACATCTAGATTTTTGTAAGAAATTTTGAAAATTAAAAAAAAGCAGCAAAGGAACTCGCTTTGTTGTACTCCGGTCTCTCACCCTGGGCTGCCCGCCTCTCCCTGGGTGCAGACAGCAAAGGTCTGGGTATGGCGGGAAATGGGCAGACACAGCTTCCAGGTGTCTATCTGCTGGGCCAGACAGCCTGCAGGCATCACCCCTATACGTGCCCCTAGGCTTGCTGTCAATCCACTCCTGGAGACACAAGGGGTTACCTGGCGGGAGCTAGGCCCCGAGTCCAGGGGTGCTGTTCTGGCTAGAGGCCAAGCTTTGATCTAAACCTCAGTCTAGGAATGTTGAAGTGTACCGTTCAGTTGGCACTGCCACATAGCTGACTGTCCAGCAGGTTGTCAGAGGCAGTAAATCACATTGGAGGAAATTGTCCATCTTTCTCCCACAGAGTCACCTGAGGATTCAAACTGCAAGCCCTCGGGATTGCAGCACTGTTTCTTACCACTAGACCACCAGAGCTCCTGTAGGAATGTTGACAGGGCCTGTCAAAAGAGCAAGGGCCACGTGGGGACACTGCAGAGGGCAACTGTATGTGTCAAAACCATTGACACAAAACCACTTCCCATAAGGTCAGGCATGTCGCCCATGCCCCTCTTTTTAGTCATCCCAGTGCCAATCTTTTTTTTTTTAATTATTTTTACGTGTACCGTCAAATCAGATCTGACTGGTACAGGAGGAGGTTGCCTCCTCCTTCTCCAGCAGAGCATCTGGTGGATTTGAACCGCGTACCTCTGCAATTGCAGTGCAGCGTCTTGCCACTAGGCCACCGTCAGTGCCAATCTTAATGCTCTGGTATCTGTTGCAATTGGTCACAGACCATACAACCCTGTCAGGGAAGTCAAAAGACTATATATAACTTGGGTTAGTAACAGAAACGGAAGAACAAGCAGGTTTGTCCTGGAGAGGGTGAAGCCAGGCTGCTCCTTGGAGACAAGGATTCTGAAGCTTCGTCTGACATACTTTGGGCATGCTGCAAGCCGGGACCAGTCCTTGGAGAGAGACATCATGTTTGGGAGGGTGGAGGGACAGAGCAAGAGAGGAAGGACTCTTGATCAGATGGATTGATTCAGTGATTGGGGTAATGGGAGTAGGTGTGTCAGAGACAGGTTGGCACAGGACAGAGCAGGGTTTAGGGTTCTTGTACATAGAGTCATAAGCGACGTGATGGCACATAACAAGAACAGAAACAGGACAGCTGCTGAAATACGCTCACAGGCACCTCAGTCTTCAGTCTCGCAGCTTTAGGCTGTTAGTCTGCCGATCATGGCGCTCCCCCTCCCAGTCCTCCCGCTCAAGGCTCTTAGCTCAGGTCCGTGGGCCTGGCAGTCCCAAGGTCTGCTCCATCTGAGGTCTGCACACTGCACACTCTTGCTCCTTTGCTGGTGCTCAGATTCTCAAATTCTGCTGAATCTGCTCAATTTAATGGAGAGACCAGCCCTTGTAGATAGATTCAGCACACACTCTATTCACACATTACCACCCATCCACACGGCAAAGTCAAACTTGGTGACTAGGAAAGCCATTTTTTTAAATTTTATTTATTTATTTTTTTATTATTATTTTGTGTGTGTACCGTCAAATCAGATCTGACTGGTACAGGAGGAGATTGTTCCTCCTTTTCCAGCAGAGCATCTGGTGGATTTAAACCGTGCACCTCTAGGACTGCAGTACACCTTCTTGCCACTAGGCCACCAGAGCTTGCCTTTTTTTTTTTAAATTTTTTTAGGAAAGCCATTTTTAACAATAGACCCTTAACACCACAGGGCCTTGGGACAGCAAGCAGTAGCTCAGTCCACTCTGGGGACTTGGGGTCAGAGCCCACGGTAGGGGCTGGGAGAACTCCGGATCTAGGTGAGATGTGGGCAGATGGCTTCACCACCCACTACCTGGGCAGTCTGTGGAAATGCCATGGCCACTGAGCCCACTTCCAGGACTGAGATGGGAGGGACCGAGGCAGGTGTGGTGGGAAGCATTGACCTTCAGTGGGGTGCTGTCTCTGGATCCAGACACCTGTGTTTTCATTTGCCGGGTGCGAAAGCACCTGGCTTCCCCGAGACCTCTGTGGTGAGATCCTTATGGGGCTGTAACAGATGTGACATTGAGAAGCCAGCTGGCCCGTGTCCGGTGACATGTGCATGTCATGGGGAGCACCAGTGTTTGATATGATGGTACCAGGACCAGGAAGGGTCAGCACAGCGGTTGAGTTGATAGCTTGTATTTAAATGTTTAAAACCAAAACCACTGCCATCAATTTAACTCGCAGAGACCCTCCATCAGGGTCCCGGGGCGGGGGGTAAGTCTTCAAGGTAGGAGACCATCCACCTTTCTCCTTCCGAGCAGTCAGTGGATTCAAACCACTGACCTTTGGTGTTAGTAAAGCAGGCTGTGCACTACGCTTTCAGAGCTCTGGATCGAAATTGTTGAGCGCCAGCAAGTTGACTCTGACTCACAGCGGCCCTATGAACCTGCTCTCTCCAGCACCGTCCCCATGACTTCTCCTGCACTTGACCCCATTGTTACAGACACTCTGTTGCCTGTACCATCTCATTGAAGGTCTTCCTTTTTTTTCTCGGTCTTCCTTTTTTTTCTCTGACCTTCCACTTTTCTCACTATGATGTCTTCTTTTCCAAGCGCTGGCCCCTCCTGAAAACATGACCTAAAGTATGTATATAATGTTTGTTGTGAAGTGTCATGGAGTTGAGCACTGCTGAGTGACCCTGTGAATAAGAGAGGGTTCACTCTGTCCTGTCCAGCGACATCCTGGTCCCTGACACACATAAGCCCATTGCTGCAGACCCTGTGTCAGTCCATCTTGTGGCGGCTCTGTGTTTTGATATCTGTAACAATAACATAGAGCTCTGTTGGCCTACTGGGTAGAATGTGATGCTACCAAGCCAAAGGTGGGTGATTTTACTCTGCAGCCCTCAGGCCTGGTTTTAATTATTTTTGGTCAGATATTCTTCTAAGTGGTATAACACTGGTCTGTCCACTTGCTGTACAGAGGTAACTCGTGGTTGCTGTGATGCTAAACACTGTTGCACTGATGTGTCAAATGTAATAATGGTCACCCACGGCAGACAGTGTTTGGTGGAGCTCCCCAATTAAAACAAGATTGGAAGCAGGAGTGGCATCTAGGGAAAGGATGAAAGTTATACAAGTGTCCAGGTCTTTCATTCATAGGGTCGCTGTGAGTTTTCTACAACTTGATGGCACTTAACAACAACAACATCATCTATTTCCCTGGCATGTAATGATACTGGCATGTGAAAGGATTACGGGGAGCCCCTTTTTAGTAAAGTGATCGACTTTTATTGTTAGAAATTAGGCATGTGCCACAGGTGCTGCCATCTGGTGGCAAGGAACCTTCAAGTACACACCCTTGAGACAGTTTTTCAAAACAGTCCCAACCCCACCTCTCCTGTAGTGGATGTTTCCGAGGACCTGCTCACCGGAGCCAGACTGGACGGAATGTTAGAGCAGTGAGGGAGTCTTTCCAAGCCGATGCCTTCGTGGGCTCAGTGGGAGAGTGTGCACTGTGTCCCGAGGTGCCCGACGAAGGGCCAGTGTGTGAGAACTCGGTGCGGCGGTGGGTCCAAAGGGCCAGCTCGGGCAGGTTAGCAGGAAAAGTCCCCAGAACCACAGAGTGAGCGGGCGGGACTGTGTCCATCACGGTCGGACCCTGGCTTGACGATGGGTGGTCAGGACCGGCCGGGACCAACGTAGACGGCCTTCTCCAGGCCGTCCACCATCTGCGAGTACTCCAGGTGCGAGCTGTAGTGCGTGCACTCGAAGTGGCTGTTCCCTCGCACGTACTCCAGGAACTTGGGCGCCCCAGGATAAATGACGTTGTCGGCCAGCAGCACCGTCCCCTTCTGCAACAGGCCGCACTCCTGCGGGGACACGTGGACAGGAAGAGAAGGGTCAGACCAGCCAGCCGCGGAGCTGGGGAGGCCAGCAGCTGCTGTCACGGGCACCCGTGGCCTGTGGCCTGGGTTGAGGCTGAGGCCTGGCTGTGGAATATCACTCCCTCCGTTTGCTCCTAGGGAGCTCTGGTGGCCTGGTGGTAAGGAGTTGTGCTCTCAACCCAAAGGCACACGGTTCAATCCACCAGCTGCTCTGAGGGATGGCCAGTCTCCTCCCATGCAGTTTACCACCTCTGATATGTGACTCGGGAAGCCATGAAGCCCAGTCTGGTCTGACTGGGGTGAGCATGCTGGGCTGTTAGCAGGGTAGGATCTTGTGCTGGCCAGAAGTCAAGGAAAATGAAGGCACTGAGATTGGCTCTGGACACCCTCAAGCCCCTGTCTGTGCTACTAGACACCTGATGTCTACCAGCTCTGTGGGGCCTTAGAGGAAGCCTAGGTCACAGAGGAGTGAAGCGACAAGGGCCAGCATGTGTCTGCCTGGGCTCTGTACAGGAAAGAGGGGGTCTGGACATGCTGCCAGGTGGGGAGTAACCTTCAGGGCAGGTGGTGAGGGGAGGAACTGCCTATGGGATGTAGGGAAGAGGGTGCTGACACTTAGAAAACATAAACATCAAAATTAAGCATTTGCCTATGACAGAAGGTCAGGCCTGGGGGGTCCCGGGATTAGAGGAAGAATCAACAACCCAGGATACGTGGATAACTTGATTGAAGAAAACAAAGATTTGAAACTCCAAAGAAGACAGACATTATAGCCTTCACTGTGGATTACACCTCAATAGAAAACAAAAATACTCAAAACTGGACCAATAAAATATTAAATGGAGAAAAGACTAAAGTCCAGGATTTCATTTCACTTGGATTTGCCACCAACTTCCACGAAACTAGTAGTCAAGATTTGCATTGGTTTATCATGGCTTTGTTCACAATAGCAAAGAGCTGGAAACAACCCAAATGCCCATCAATAAATGAATGGATAGAGAAGCTGTGGTATATTCACACAATGGAATACTACACTGCATTGAAAAACAAGGAACTCATGAAATATTATTCAAAATGGGTGACCCTGGAGAACATTATGCTGAGTGAAATATCTCCATCACAAAAGGACAAATAGTATAGTGCCACTGTTGTAAAACAGGACTGACATTGGGGTTGAGGGAAGACTAAGAAGGATGGGATAAATGATGTATACTGCATTGAAACAGATGAGGGAGAAAATTGTTTAAAAGGGTTATGTGATTGGATATTATTGTCATGACAGGAGTCCAGAACGAAGTCTGCATAGTGGAGTGGACTTGGGGAGAGGGATTGTAAAACAATGGAAGAATTTTTCTTTTACTTTTCAAAGAGAAGAGTGTACTGGGGAGGGGTGGGCAGGGAGAAAAGTGCAACAATGAGTGAATCGACATCCAAAGTCTGTAAATTTTCATTAAAATTAATTTTTTTTTTAAAAAGAAGCATATTATAACAATTTGCCCCAATTTCAGTGATGTGAATTTGATTACTTGGCTAAGTTGACGGTCTCCTATATATCACCATTATAAAGACACTCTTTCCCCATGTAATGATACACTGAGACTGTAGAACTATCCTGTTTCCAAATAAACAAAACATACTTTAACCAATATTTTCAGAAAAAAAAAATTGCACTGGGCAAATCTTCCATCAAGGATCTCTTTAGTGTACTAAAGAGTAAGGGTGTCACTTTAAAGACTAAGGTGTGCCTGTTCCAAGTCAAGATACTGCCAATTGCTTCCTATGCATGTGAAAGCTGGACAAAGACTAAGTAAGATCCGAGGACCGATGCCCTTGAATTGTGCTGGCAAAGAATACTGGATGTACCACACATTCAACTTGTTCTTGTGTAAACACAAGCTTGTCATGGAGGAAGTGAAGCCAGAGAGCTCCTTGGAAGCAAGGCTAGTGGCTCTGTCTCACAGACTCTGGACATGTTGTCAGGAGGGACCAGTCCCTGAAAGAGGACACTCTGCTTGGGCAAGTTTAGGGTCACTGAAAGCAAGGAAGACCCTTGACAGGATGCCCATACACAGTGACAGCAGCGATGGGCTGGAGCCAAGCAGGGATTGTGAAGACGGGTTTCGTCCTGTCGTACACAATCGCTGGCACCTAACAACAATATACAAGGTGAAAGAAAGCAATGGGAAACACTGAAAGAAAAAGAAAAATTATTTTGGTCACAGTCGCTGGCCTGACCCCTCAGAGGGGCTCCTTAGATTACAGCTCTACCTGTGTGTCCCCCAAGGAGAAGCCTCAAGGGCAAAGAGGTCTTATGTGGTCTTTACAGTCCTGGTAGTAACACAGCCCGTGCACCCTGCTGAGGGCTGTGGCCAGGGTGTGACCAGCAGTTAGGGCATGAGGGCTAAGGAACCTCTCTGGTTCTGAATATAATGGACAGTGCCAGTATGAACCGTGACACATTTCCTCCTAAAAAAGAAAGTCATTTCCCAGATCTCTTGGCTGGAACAAGTGGCCCAGGAGTTTTGTGTTTCCAACCAAAGATCTAGGAGAGATCAATGGCACTTGGGCCAGGTGTGTCATGGCATCTGAAGAGGTATCACTGGTGCCCACAAATGGACAATCTTCCCATCAGCAAGACTGAAGGCATCAGTGGATTGCAAACCATCAACTGGTAAGAATCTACACGGTTATAACCATGAACGTGTGAGTTCTTAATATATTTCAAAGAAAGTATCTGTGGAGACTCGAGGAGGATGTGGAGGACTCCCACCTGCCACTCTGAAAACTGCACCAAGGGGAAGAAAGCAGCATTTGTCCTGAGTCCCCTGAGCCCATGTCCCTCTGACAAGGATGCAGCCCTCCCATGAAAACGATGGTCAAATGTAATCTCTTTATCTGAGCAGGCCATCACCAGGCCGAGCGGGGCCCCCACACAGAGCAGGGTGCAGAGGAATGTGCTAGAACTCTGCTCCACAAGTCTTTGACACTCCTCGTTATGGGAGGTGGAGCTGAATCCCTCTCCCTTTCCATACTCACCAGAAATGAGGTCCCATGCTTTTGGATTTCTTGTTAACGGCCACTGAGATGATTCCAAATCACAGGAACTCGCATGTACAGAGCAGAGTGGCCCCTAAGGTCTTCAAGGCTGAGACTTTTCTAAAGAGGATTGCCAGGCCTGTCTTCCGGGTGTCTCTGGGTGGATCCCAAACACCAACCTTTTAGCTAGTAGTCAAATACTTTGGCATTTGTTCTAACTGGGCCTCGGTGGATTTGGAGATAAGGTTTTTAAAAAAAGAAGAAAAAAGAAAGCAGCACTGTGGCTTCCTCTTTGGGTTCTTTCTCCCCCGCCCCTCTATCTCTTACATGGGGGAAGAACTAGCTGCGAAGGTCGCTGGGTAGCATGAACAGTTTATGCTCCACACCTATTCAATCTGTAGCTGAGTGAATAAATCCCTTGTGAAGCTGGACTCCATAAAGAAGAAAAGGGGGTAAGGGAGCTCTGGTGGCCTAGTGGAAAAGAAGCTGCACTGTAATTCTGAAGGTGTGCGGTTCAAATCTATCAGATGCTCTGCTGGAAGAGGAAGGGCCATCTCCTCCTATGCCAGTTGGATCCAATTTGATGGTACACAACAAGAAAAGAAAAAGAAATAATTTTTTTTAAACAAAAAAACCTGTGTGGATCATAATAAGCTGTGGCTGACTCTGAGAAGAATGGGAATCCCAGAACATTTGATTGTGCTAATGCAAAACTTATACTCGGACCAAGAGGCAGTTGTCAGAACAGAGCAAGGAGACACAACATGGTTCAAAATCAAGAAGGGGGTCTGTCAGGGATGTATTCTGTCTTTATACCTTTTCAATCTGTATGCAGAACAGATCATCCGAGATGCTGGGCTATATGAAGAGGAATGTGGCATCAGGATTGGTGGAAGAATCATCAACAACCTGTGTTATGCAGATGACACAACTCTGCTTGCTGAAACTGAGGAGGACCTGAAGCGCTTGCTGCAGAGATCAAGGACTACAGCCTCCTATATGGACTGAAGCTCAACATCAAGAAAACAAAGATTCTCACCACTGGGCCAATTGGCAGCATCAGTATGGATGGTGAAGAGATTGAGATAGTTAACAGTTTTAGTTTACTTGGCTCCAAAGTCAACACTCTTGGTAACAGCAGCCAGGAAATAAAGAGACAAATTGCACTGGGAAAGTCAGCTGTGAGGGACCTCTCAAGAGTACTGAAGAGCAACGATGTCAGACTGGAGACTAAGGTACGCCTGATCTGGGCTATAGTCTTCACAATTACGTGCTATGCATGAGAGAGTTGGACAGTGACTAGGGTAGATAGAAAGAGAATTGATGCCTTTGAGCTGTGGTGCTGGAGAAGAGTGTTGAATATACCATGGACTGCTAGGAGAACAAACAGGTTTGTACTGGAGAGGGTGAAGCCAGAATGTTCCCTGGAGTCAAGGATTCTGAAGCTTCATCTGACATATTTTGGGCATGTTGCAAGGAGGGACCGGTCCTTGGAGAGGGACATCATGCTTGGCAGAGTGGAGGGGTGGCGAAGGAGAGGAAGACCTTTGATGAGATGGATCGATTCTGTGACTAGAGAGGTGGGAATAAGTGCATTTGAAATGGCTAGGTTGGCACAGGATAGAAGAGTGTATAGAGCTCTTGTACATAGGGTCGCTATGAGTCGCAAGCGACTCGATGGCACATAACAACAACAACAACAAAACCAACAACAAAGGGGCATCAAGGTTGGAAGACTTGTCAACAACCTGCATTATGCAGGAGATACAACCTTGGTGGCTGAAAGTGAGGAGAACTTGAAACAACTAATGCAAAAGACCAAGGACTATAGCCTTCAATATAGGTTATCTCTCAACATCAAGAAAACAAAGTCCTCACCACAGGGCTAATAGGGTAACATCATGATAGATGGAGAAAGGACTGAAATTGTCAATTATTTCATCTTATTTGGATCAACTATCGACACCTTTGGTATCAGCAGTCAGGAAATCAGGAGATGAATTGGGCAAGTCTGCTGTTAGAGATCTAAAATACTGAAGAGCAATGATGTCATTGTGAAGACTAAGGTGCGCCCGATTCAGGTCTTTTCAATCACTTGCTACACATCTAAGAACTGGATAATGAATAAGGATGACAGAAGAAGAATTGATGCCTTTGAACAGTAGTGTTGAAGGGTACTGGATATCCCATGGACTGCAAAAAGAGTGAACAGGTATATGTTGGAAAAAGTGTAGCCAAGGTGTTCCTTGGAGGCAAGGATGGTGAATCTTGGTCTCATATATTTAGGGCATGTTGTTAGAAGGGGATGGTCCTCAGTCAGTTAAAGGAAGACCCTCAATAAGATGGATTGAACAGTGAATGCAACTGTGAACTCAAGTATGTCAGAGATGATGAGGATGGCACAAGACAGGGCGGGGTTCAGATCTGTTTTTCATTGTGTTGCTATGAGTCATGGTTGACTCGATGGTACCTAACAATGAAGGTTAGCGGTTCAAACTTACCCCATAATGCTTGTAAAAAGAACACCTAGGAGTCTGTTTCTGTCGAGATTAACAGCAAAGGACACCCCAAGAGGCATAATTCTAATCTCCGGTCACCTTGATCAGGAACTGACTCGGCAACGGGCTCAATCATTTACATGTTGCCAGGAGACACTGGGGTGACAGGGACCTGAGGCCTCCCCTGAGCCCCCCCGCCAGAGCCAGGCTCACCGTCCCCCGCACACACCAAGCCACTGCAGAGCTCCAGCTGAGAGTCTGAGGAGCGCGCATTTGAAATCTGCAGCTGCTTCCAGTTCATTACTTCTCTTCTTTTGAGATAATTGCCCGCTTTGAACAAGCAGCGCTGAGAACACTATTCATTTCCTAGTTACGGAATGGCAATATTTGCTGCTTGTCTATAAATAAATACAGGTTCCTTCATGGCCACGCCACCCTCACCTGCCCTGGCTCGGTCCCATGTGGTCTCTCGATTCTGTCCTCAATATCTGACTTCCAGATCTGTGTCCTTGGGCTGGGAGGGGCCTTGGCCTGCCCCATCCTGCCCTTATTGGTGCTACTTCTGTCCCTTCTGTACTGAAGCCACCAGGGGCACACTGTCCCTTGCCTGGCCTCTGGCCTTTGGCTCAGTTGACGGTCCTCCTACACTGGGGGCTCCGTGTACATAGCAGCACAGCCCCACGTGTGCACCGTGGGAACCCCTGGTGGCTCTACACCCTGGCTGCCTGGGATGAGGATGCCCATCTGATGCCCTAGGGCACTGCCTGCCTGGGGACTAAAGCCTAGGTCACCACTGCCAGCCTCATGAGAAGAGATAGTTCAGGTCCTCACTGGGGTGAATTACAAGTCACAGCTGCCAGGGCTGCTGTCCCTCCTGAGAGACCTGTCACCCACTGTCTGGCGCACCAACTGTCCTTTTGGCTCAGGACCCCTCCCCGCTACTGCGCCTCAGGAAGCCCTCTCACCCGCTACCCCGTCCATCACTAGGATTCAGCTGAATTCAGGGGTGCTGGCACTGTGCACTGCTCCAGCTGGCTGCCCAAGCCCCCACCCCTGCATCTCCACCCTGGGCCCTTCCTACTTGGACTTGACCGCAGATGACACCACACCTGGCTGCAGGCCTTACCCCTGGCTGGCATCCCGGGCGCCGCTCTGCAGAGAGGTTCAAGGTAGCAGGAGGCCAGGCCCTGTGGTCTCTGTGGCCTCTGTGCCCAGGGGCTCGCTTACCTCCAAGAGGATGGTGTCTGGCAGGTACCGGTCCTTCCAGTGGTCAAGGAAGACCATGTCCAGCGTGTCCACGTCATGCTGCTTCTTCAGCTTGGGGATGATGTCCTGGGACGCCCCAATCAGAACTGTCACCTAGAAGGTGACCTCATCAGTGTCCAGCACTTCTGTTCCTCCCACCCCTGATGGTCCTGCCCGGAAAGCTTGTGTGGGCAGAAAATAAAGGACACCAGTTCGGGCCCCACCCATCCTGTGCAGGCTGAAGCGTTCTCTGCTAGCAAGACAGGGCACCAGGTGTGTGATGCAGAACCATCCCATCCATGCTGGGCATGAGCTGGTCTCCCTGCTGACGCCCCTGTCCCCAAGCCTAGGGGGACCACAACCTCTGCAATGGGGGGGACACCACACCTTGTCCTGCAGGCCAGCGAAGTCCAGCATCTGCTGTGTGATGGCTGCGAAGGCCGGGTTGAGCTCGATGGTGAGCAGGCGGGCCCCGGGGGGCAGCAGGCGGGCCATGCGCACTGCCGAGTAGCCACAGTAGGCACCCAGCTCCAGCAGCACCTTAGGACGGCACTGACGCACCACCTCGTCCACTATCAGGCCTGCGGGGGTGGGGAAGCTGGGTCAGACCCAGGTGCAGGCCCCGGGCGCCCCTCCGAGGAACCCAAATCCCCTGTCCTGGCCTTGGCCTACTCTCCCACGCCTTCTCCACTGTAGGGGGAGCCTGGAGGCCGCCCCAGGACCTGCTCCCCACAGTCCCTCATATGCACATCCTGGTCCTTGGCTGCTTCTCCTTTCCCCACCCAGCTGCTCCTCCAAAACCTCCATCACTCGGAGCTGCTCCATCTCAATGCCACCCCCACCTGGCCTCAGGGCTGCCTCCCACCTTTGAACCAGCTACTCTTTCAGGGGCTCCGAGGGAGCAGGACAGAACGGATCACACATTCGTCCCCAGGGCGCAATCCCAGAGAGTTTGGGACACATCTGAGTCCAGATCTGGGGTCCAGGACTGAGGGGACCAGGCACGGACCTGCTCGCCCAGGACTATCTTAGTAGCAAGTGAGTGTCCCCTCTGGGCCACCCCTGAGCCCACCACCTGCTTTCCCTGGAGTTGGGCTTTATGGGGCCCTGTGGGCATGAGACCTGGACTGCCAAGTCTGATTCTGTGGGACACTGTCCCCCCCAACCCACTGCACCCCCAGGACTTCTAGAAGTGGGGGTGCCAAGAGCTGTGAGCTAGTTTATAAAACAATGACATCTGTCATGTCCCTCCCTGCCCACAGGACCCCGCACCTCCATACAAGGTCCCTGGGGCACCCTGTCCCAGTCTTCACACACTTTGCCCCTTTCACCTTTGCCCTGAGCTGTGGGCAGGGGAAGATCAGAGGGGAGCAGGAGGTTGGCCCGCAGTGTGAACCCCCAGAGCTCCAGGCCAGCTTCCTGGCGACCCTGTGCGCTTGTCTCCGCTGTCCGGCCGCCTGAGCAGTGCTCACCTTTCTCGTTGCCCACGTTCATGGCCCACTCCTTCTGCAAGCAGTAGGCATCAATGGCCTCCAGGACGCTCTGCGGGTCTCCGCGCCGCGCATGCTGCTGCACGTGACGCAGGATGCGCTGCTCCAAGCTGCAGCCCTGGAGCATGTTCCGGACGGGCCGCAGGACGTACTCGTGGTATAAGACCACGAACAGCGGGCTAAGCCGCAGCAGCAGCGCCAGCAGCACCAGGCCCAGCAGGACAGCGGTCAGCAGCAGGGGCAGCCCCTCCAGCATCTGCGTGGGGGGGGCAGAGGGAAGGAAAGGGGATGGGAGGGGCGGAAAGCAGGGGCTCCACAGGAGAAGGGAAGAGCTAAGGAGGAGGAGGGCAGAGGGGAGGGGCTGAATGCAGGGTGTCCACAGACAGAAAAGGGAATAAGGAAAAAAGGAGGGGGCAGAGGGCCAGACAGCAAAGAGTCCACATGCGAAGGGAAGGGACAAGAGGGGACCTAAGAGGCCCTGGGCATTTCACAAGGATCTCACCCCTTCCTAACTCACCCACTCTCTTCAGTTTGCGGGGTGCCTGGAGGGCCCTCAAATAAGTGCTACTGTTACTCTCCTCAAGCTGTTATGGATGGGTCAGTAGGCACCCCCAAACCCTCTCACTGCACCCATCTCTCTGCCCAGAGCAAAGCATCTGTCCAGTGAAGAGGGCTGGCTTGTCAGGGGCACAGGGAGCTAGCTCTGGGTGTAAGCCATCAGCGACTCATAGTGTCTGTGTGAGGGACAGTCAGAGGGGGGCTCGGGAGAGGGGAAGCCTGCACACCCCTTCTCTATCTCAGCCTAGGTCGCTCTGCAGGCACGGGTACCCAGGCAGCGCCCAGGGAGGGGGAAATGTGCCCCTTTGTGTATTAAACCGTGACCCACCACACCTCACCCCCTTCCCATGAGCAATTTCTAAGTTGGAAAATAACATATAGCTCCAAAGAGTCATTTAGAGGGGGAAATAATCCACAAATCTGTAGGAAAACATGGGAAGAGAAACGCAGGTAAAGAAACACACAGTTTACAGAAAAAAGCGTAAGTAGACACAGGAACCCACAGGTAGCTCAGCCGGTCCCCCTCCCTCCCAGGTCCCCACCCCCTTCCCAGTTGTCTTTCTACGGCTTTGCATCACATAAGCAGAGACCCACGTCTCACAAAGATGCTCCCAGCATGGCCAGGTTCCTGATATCCCGGGGACAGCAGGGACCTGGGTGGGCACACAGGGTTAAGGGGGCACAAGTTTCTCGCCTGGGTAACAACGAGTGGTGTGTGGCTTGGGTGTGGTCACGTCTCCTACTCTGTCCATTTCTCAGCAGCTCGGGTTTTATAAGGCTGCACCGGGGTTGTTCTGCTTATTTGTAGGATTATGAACATGACTGCAACAATTGTTTGGTTGGTAAGCGAACAGATGGTTTTGTTTTATTCTTGGAAGAAAACAAATCTGGGCCGTGTTAGAAGTCGGGTATCAGAAACTAAGAAGTGGATTTCCCGGTGGGGTCGTGAATCGTGAATTCCCAACTGTCCAAATTGTGGGTTGTATGAGAATGTGGCCGCTATATCTTTAGGATTGTCTGTTTAGAAAACGACACCTTAGGGGGAGCTCTGGTGGCCTAGTGGCAAGGAGCTGCAACTACAATCCCACAGGCACATGGTTCGAATCCACCAGATGCTCTGCTGGGAAAAGGAGGAACAATCTCCTCCTGTACCAGTCAGATCTGATTTGACGGTACACTCACACACACAAAAAAAATAATAAAATAAAATTTAAAAAATTAAAAAAAAAGAAAACGACACCTTTGTGCGCGCTCTCTCTCTCACATACACACACATACACACGAATTGTTCTCACATTCCAGAACCTGCCTCTGCCCCTACAAGGGTGGACACTCACCTCTAGGCTCATCCTCTAGTTGCACTTTCAAATACAGTCCATCCTCAACAAGGCAACTGAGGAACTTCCCTGTCCACACAGAAGCTGCTCGCGATAAGCATGTCCCTCCCCAGGGCCATGGAGTCAGTATGATATTACAGCTTTGTCTTTGCTGAATGACATGTAAAACTCCAGGGGTGGCTGTGTCTCTCTCTTTAGAAAGCAACAATAATCTCATGCTAAACCTACAAAGTGAACAGCTATGGAGAAAGCTGATCCACACCTTTCCTGATTTTAAACCATGCAGTGTTCCCTTGCTCTGTTCGCAAAGTAGCCACTTACTTGGTCTAGGTTTCACATGAACACAATTAAAACGTTCTGAGATTCCCATTTTTCTTAATGTTGGCCATAATTTGTTAGGATCCACACAATCAAATGCCTTTGTGTCGTCAATAAAGCACAGATAGACATTCTTCTGGTATTCTCTGCTTTTAGCCAGGATCCATCTGATATCAGCAATGATAAACTGGTGCCAACAGCCTCTTCTAAACCCAGCTTGAACTCCTAGCAGTTCTCTCTCAATGTACTCTTACAGCCATTTTTGGATGATCTTCAGCACAATTTTGCGTGCATAATACTAATATTGTGTGGTAATTTCCACATTCTTTTGGAAATGGAAACAAATATGGATCTCTTCTAATCAGATGGCTAAACAGCTGTCCTCCAAATTTCCTGACATAGACTGGTGAGCATGTCCAGGCTGCAACTCTTAGTTGAGACATATCAATGGGTATCCCATCAACTCCTGGGGCCTTATATTTTGCCAATGCCTTCACTGCAGCTTGAACTTCTTCCTTCATTACCACTGGCTCTTGACCAAATGGTACTTCCTGAAACATTTCAGCATCAACCAATTCTTTTTGGTACAGTGACTCTGTGTGTCACCTCCACATCTTTTGATGCTTCCTGGATCATTCAAGATTTTGCTCAGAGCTTCTCTGAGTATTGCCACTCGAGGCTTGAATTTGTTCTTCAGTGCTTTCTGCTTAAGAAATGTTGAGCGAGTGCTTCTCTTTCTAGTCTCCATCTCTAGCTCTTTGCACATTTTGTTATACTTTGCTTTGTCTTCTTGAGTTGCCCTTTGAATTTTCTGTTCATGTCGTTTACTTCTGTATCTCTTCCCTTTGTTTTGGTTTCTTGATGCTATAGTGCTATTTCCAGAGTCACTTCAACATACATTTGGGTCTCTTCTTCCTCTTCTGTCTTTGTAATGATCTTTTGCTCTCTTCATGGAGGATAAATATAATGTCATTCCACAACTCCTCTGTCTTCAATCCTTAGTGTTCAATGCCACAAACTTCTTCTTGAGATGATTTTTAAATTGAGGTGGGTTAGACTCAAGGTTGTATTTTGGTTCTTGTGGACTTGTTTTCATTCTCTTCAGCGTGAATTTGAACTTGCACATGAGTAATCATTGACGGTCTGTTCCAGAGCCAGCACCTGCCTGGTTTTCACTGTCAATATTTAGCTTCTCTAACAATTCCTTCCACAGTCGTGGTCAACCGGATTCTTGCGCAGTCCAGCAGGTGAGGTCTATGTGGAAAGATGCCTTTTGTGGATTTTAAAAAAGGTATTGGTGATGAATAAATCATTGAACATATAAAATTCCGTCAGTTGGTGTCCAGTCTCATTTCCGTCACCAAGTCCGTACTTTCTCTCACTATTAGTCCTTCGACTTTGTTTTCAACTTTTGCACTCCAGTCCCCAATTATTTTTAATGCGTATTGACTGCATGTCTGGCCAATTTTGGACTGCAAAAGTTGGTAGAAATCCTGAGTTTCCTTCTCTTTGGCTTTAGCTGTTGGTTCGTAGATTTGAATAATGGTTGTATTCACAGGTCTTCCTTGTCCATGTATGGACAGTATCGTATTACTGACAGCATTGTACTTCAGGATCTCTCTTGTTAACTATGAATGTAACACCATTCATTTTTCCTCAATATTGTCATTCCTGGCATAGATCATATGACAGTCAAGGTGGCCAACGTCAGTCCCTCTCAGCAAACTAATACCTAGAATGTCAATCTTCATGCATTCTATTTCATTTTGGACAATTTTCCCTTTTCCTAGATATATACTTCATACATTCCATTTCTTTTTTTAATTTTTATTTTATTATTTTTTGTGCATGTACCATCAAATCAGATCTGACTGGTACAGGAGGAGATTGCCCCTCCTTCTCCAGCAGAGCATCTGCAGGATTCGAACCGCACATCTCTGGGATTGCAGTGCAGCTTCTTGCCACTAGGCCACCAGAGCTCCCTTCATTCCATTTACTAATGGCTATCTGTAGCGGTTTCTCCTCACTTTTGCTGATTCCCAATCTGGACTCTTTAATACTACAGCTGTCCGCTATTAATAGTTTCTCTATTGTTCATAAAATTTTCAAAGGCTGGTTACTTCAGCAGCGGCTAGCCAATCCTGTTTCCTAGTCTGTCTTGATCTGGGAGCTCTGCTAAAACCTGTCCACCCCTGGGTGATTCTGCTAGCTTTTTAAACACCTGTGGTATAGCTTTCAGTATCATAGCAACCCACAAGTTACCCCAGCAAAGCAAACTGACAGACAAGTGCTGTACGAATAAGAGCTAAAGATAATGAGCAAGCATATACACGTCTAAACCATAAAATAATTAGCAACATGCATATCATTCCCCCAACTCAACAAGCTGACAGATAGATGTTGTACCTCTAGCAGCAAACACTAGAAACAACCATACAAATATCATGGTGCATGATAGCCTTCTCTAGACCTGCCTAAGGCCCATGGTGGCACAGTGGGACAGGGCTCTGAATGGGGTATGATGACATGGGTAGTAGCTTGTCTGGCTTCTTGTTGCTGGTACCTGGTCCCAGGCTCAGGGGCCCAAGGTCAAGTGGGAGGTGACTTGGGCCAGTGCCTGGTGCAATGTCCAATACCCGGACAAGGTAGCAATGAAGAATAATGTCATCAGGAATGGAGGAAGACTCATCAACAACCTGCATTATGAAGATGACAATACCTTGCTTGCTGAAAATGAAGAGGACTTGAAGTGCTTGCTGCCGAAGAGCAAAACCTACAGCCTTCAATTTGGAATACATCTCAACATCAAGACAGAAATCCTCACCATTGGGTCAACAGGCAAAACCATGATAAATGGAGAAAGAAAAAAAAATTCAAACTGTCAACCATTTAATCTTATTTGAATGAACAACACCTTTGGTACCAGCAGTAAGGAAATCAGGACACATAGTGCATTGGGAAAATCTGATATCAGGGACCTCTCCAAATTACTGAGGGAGGAGCAACAACATTACTTTAAAGAGTAAGGTGTGCCTGACTCCCG